GTTGGGGTTACTTCAGGTAGGACATCTGACATAAATACAAATCTAGCAAATTAAAACATGTCGAGCTGCCTGCTGTGCTGTTGTGAATAAGGGAGCAGCTGAAAAAAGTTCTTCAGTGTGTGGATTTTCCACACAGAAGTAAGAAGAGAAAGGGCAGCTAATAAATAAACACCATCTCCCATGATGCACTTCTGCTGACATGATTGGCAGCTGCAGAAATAAACTGAAATAATTTCAAAGAAGTTTTTGTCATTCCGAACTTTTTTATTATTATTATTGTTTTCGACATTGAATATTTACAGGCAGATGTTCCCTAGCAACAGATGTTGTTATCACTACACACAGGAAGATCAAAGTGGGTTTAAACATCAGGAGGTAAACACTGAACACCTGTCCGACACCTGAGCAGGTAAACACTCAGAAGTGACAGAAGCCAGCAGTGGTGGCTGTCGGTAAACAAAGGGTCAGCTTGGTACATTTTGGGCACTTTTCAGGGCATTTCCTATCACTGCTGCCCAGAGATGTTTCTGAGTTAACGAAATTGGACATGCATGCTTTATTAAAAGTTGGGTGGTTACTGTTTTCTCCAGCTTAGTGAACACCAAACAGAAGTCCTTCAGCACAGATTTGTGCCTAAGCTAAAGGAAACTCCAGGTCCTTTTCAGAAACCTCGGCTTTCACTACAGATGTTCACTTACTTAAAAAATGTTTGTCATTAATGCTTTTATTTCATCACCCCTGGATTGTTGTTGTTCATTGTTCATTTGTCTTCATAAAACCTCCTCATTAGCTTCAGAGGCCACTTTAAGAATCTGGTTTTTAATGGTAGAGCTCCGTATGGACGGTGAATCATCCCCCATCTCTCAGCCTGAGGTCGGTGGATTCAGTCTGTTTATAAAAAAATACTCAAAATCATTATTTTAAACTTGTTTATAGGTAACTTTTTTGTTGTGAAGCATTTTATATTTACCTTGAAATGTCCTATATAAGTAAAATTGTACTTTTTGTCACACCTGACCTTCAGAGATCGACTCTAAAATAATCACTGGGCTAAATTAAAAAGCTAATAATAAAGTAAAAACATGTTCACGGCACACACACACCTACTTTCTCGTTGTGTGCTCGCAAAGACCCTCATTAACATGATTCAACCTGATTTGCAGAAACCTTCAAACAGCAGCGAGCAAAACGTGGTCCTCGCACTGCAGGAAAGTCCTCATAAGGATGGTAAAACCAGAGCACGCCGAGCGTTAGTGTGCATGTTTTAATTAGACAGACAGACAGGCAGGCGGAGAGACAGACGGGATATTCAGTCCGCTGATTGGAGGAGCAGCAGGAGGCGAACCGGAGTTTGACTCAGTCGCCGGGACCAGCGGAGAGTTTACCGGAGAGGAGCGGCGGCTGTCTGCGGACCTGCAGGCGGAGCGGAGCGGAGCGGGTTCGGGACTGAGCTCGGACCGCGAGGAGAGGGATCCCGCTGCGGTGAGTGCAGAACCTGGTGAAGGAAAACCAGTCAGAGAAAATGATTCCAGCAGAACCAGAGAATAAAACCAGTCCACGATACAGCAGGACTATCAGGCGAACACGGAAAACAAGCTGCTTTTATGTAATAGTCAACTGTGAGGGTTATTTTTCTTTTAAACCCAGATTTAACCAGGTTTAACCTCCGGGGAGGAGTGAATGTGATGTGCAGCGCGCATTTGGCTGAACTCATCTGATCAATATATTTGTGA